GGAATGTGAAGCGAATGACAAAAGGACCAACAAAAGAGTGACCAGCAATTCTAACGAAGCTTGGTTTCACTAGTTTTGTGCCTCACATGAGAGTCTCTGGCTCTCACTTAAGAAAGTACTTAGGAGTGTATGTAGGAACGCATGAAGCACTTTGAAGTGCTTCTTAATAATTAATAATTAATTCTTAATAATTCTTGTTTGAAAAGGAGACACGGCTTAAGCTATAAAAACATTATCAAAGCCAAATTCAACAAATTTGCTACTGTTTTGTGTATTCGTTTGCCATTACCTGGAATGAAAAATCACTCTAGCAGTCCTAACCACGTGTGGAAATATGACAGTCAAAATTTTAAGTATTTTATTAATTTGCTGTCAGGACCCTGCACACAAAGGAACACTGAAACATCTTCACCTGTTTGGAGGAAGAAGCATGCTTTCTCACATGGCTTTATGTCCCTGGGCTGGAAGGGGTTTCATTCTTAGAAAATGTATTTTTTGGCCAGACTAAAGATTCTTATTAAGTGAGCTTATTCTGCATCAGCTGATACAAAGCTTTATTAGTAGATCAAGAAGTAGAATTAAATGTCATATTTCAGAATACAGGAAATTAGCTGCTAAAATAAAAGCATGTTATATGGTCATATGTTATATGAGCTGATTTTCTCTAATGCTGAATTCCTAGTGTGGTTGCACAGAGCTGTATTAACTTGCATCTTTAAACATCCAAGGAAAGATTCTATGGCAATCAATTTCAAAACTTTTTTCTGATTTTAACAGAAGAAAATTGTCCTGTAAGTTCACTCTACATTTTAAGTACTCACATTTGGAAATATAATGTGGAAATATTTTATAATCATTTAGGAAGATGAAGGTCTGACTTAGAACTCTGTACCAAAGCAGGACAGAGCCATGCAATGTCTTGGGTACACATACCCTAACGGCAGCGAAAGGTCAACCAGTTAATACGTCACATGATCCTTGCTGAAAGTGTCTAGTTTGGTGAAAAGAAGTTAAAATGGTTCATAAATATGGTATTTTCCCCCAACTTTCTGAAATTTTCGTTCTTCATGAGCTACTATTTTTCCTGACTTTTTATTTGGAAGAAAATTATTTAAATGTTTCCAAGTAATATATAGGAATCCCATGTGGTCCTGTTGGATTGCACTGAGGTTAGATGCATCTAAAGGCATCAGAAAGGGACATTGTATAAAGTCTGCATCAGGACAAAGATGTGTGCTGTGATGCTATACCCACAAAACTTACTCACACTTGTCATGCTTTAATTGAGGGAACAGGTGGTTTCATTGTTATTAAGCTGAACAGGAGATGATCTAAAGAAAATGCAAAGGAATTGAATTTTAAATGTAATGAAATAATCCATGAATCTCAACAGAGGTTTTATACTCATCTTTCTCACCTTGTGTGTGGAGAAAATTCAAAATATATATGATACTAAGCAAGGAAATTATTTTTATTTTTTGTGAAAGTGTACAGAATAAATATGCATCTGGTGTTGCTGAAAAGTACTATAGTAATAAAATTATCAGGAATTGTGTTGCAATATATAATTCCTTACTAATGATAACAGTTTTTGAGGTCTTCATTGCACAGTTTTTTTTCATTAGATATCTCTCTAAATATACACAGAAAATATGAGAAGGTTGTATGTGTTTCAGAGTGACAGTATTAATAATTTTAGCAATAAATAGCAATATTCTGATGTGAGGTTGTTGTAAGTCTGGCACCCAGTTAATTCTGCTTTACATTATGAAATGGCGAGAAATAGAAGAAAATTACAGCTGTGAGATGCCAGATAACAGATTGAGTGTTTTATTGCACAAGATTCATGACAGAAGCTGATCTAGCATATCTTGTAAAACTTCATAGATAATAACTTTTCAGTAGACACAGAGATATTTGTCTTTACAATTTGCTCTAGTTTCTATCAGAGAGAACTGTGATGATCTTAAAGGACCCTTACAACCCAAATTATTCTGAAGCATATCCATGAAATTCTGCAGGAATACTGAATGGCATGGGAGATATGAAGACCTCTTTTTCTAGTGAGAATAATTGTTTAAACCAGTCAATTTAAACCAGTTTAAATTGCAAAGGAACTGCGTCATATGTTATTTCCCATGTAGCATATCTCCTACTGCTAGGGAAAAATAATAGATTTGTTAAAGATCTGAATGTATTCTGTCCTTCTAGTTGATGGGAGCCTGTGTCTCCCATTTCCCACAACAGTTTAATGCAATCAGGTGGGGTATGCATTTCAAAAATTTTTAAACATACATCTAAAAGATGAAATCTACCTCTCCTTTCTTGAGGATGGGACTTGTGCCTGCACTGTCCCAGTAGAGCAAAGTTATGACGTGGGAGGAGAGTGACTGGGCTTCTCCAGCCCTCCCTGAAGGGACTAAGGAAGAAATTTTGTGTTTGACATAGGAATGAGAACTGTCACTTTCGGCTGCTGATTTGGTCATGGCTTTTCTCAAGTGCTGGGCTTTCATGCCCAAGTACAAAGATTTTCAGTACTTGACACTGGCAGTGGTGAATGAGGGGATCAGCATGATTAGTATTCAAATTTAACAGGAGTCTAAATTCTGAATTCTCCTTTTGGAGGAGGAATTCCTTAATATCTCTTACTGTTTACTGTAAAAATCGTGGTTGTAGCATAGCCAGTGTCAGCTATGTGATGGCTCTTTACCCAGCTCTATGGAGCTCACTGTCCAGGTTTGGAGGCACAGAAACATCAATCCAGTCAACATATTCATCTCAACTAAATCACCACGTTGGAAAAAATATGCCTACCTGTCAGGCACTACAGGTCTTTTCCTACAACAAGTTTTGAAAGTAGTTCCTAGCTGTTTCTCTTCCTGAGATCGTCTTTTGTTATATTTTGCTGAGTGGTCAAAAAATAAAATAAAAGTGAAAAGAAACATCAGGCCCTGCACTGAAATTTGCCTTTTAAAAGGATTATTTCCTCTCTTCCTAAAGTAGCATTTGATGAGAAATAAAATGCTGGAGAATTACTTGCAAAGCCTTTTATAAACCACAGGGAAATAGATAGTGATATTGAGATGAAAGAAATCAAATTTTTTGTGCAAGTGTATCTCCAGACATAGAGATTATCTCTCTGTAGAGAAGTATGTGCAGTGAGGGTGTTTGCATCACTGCCCCACCCAACGCAAAACTTGGATGCAAAACATAAATGCTGCTTTTCTTATGATGGGCTATGGTAGCCTTCAAATGTGTCAGAAAGGATCATCATGGGAATCTCCTCTTCCTAAAATATTCAGGAACTTTCAAAGCCAAATATGTTCTTATTTTTGTTCCCCCTCCCTTTATTTTATTATTTTTTTAATGTCATTAATTTAAGGACTGAGATTACCTCTTGGCCAGGTACCAGACAGCCTGTACATTGTGTTTGTGCTTTTCAATGTTACTTTCCTAACATCACCATCCTGTGCTGCATTAGCAGTAATATTTACCATCTTTTCAGCTAGTCAGTGGCAACAGGGTTAATGAAATGACTCAGTTGTTGTTTAGCACAAATTGCAGTCATTGAGACATCAAGCTGGGAGATGATTATTCAGTGAACTTTTATTATCCAAATGTGAACAGGGTTTCAGAAAAGAAAAATGTGTAAAACATGATTTTGAATAGTGAGAATGAGATGAGAAAAGGGAGCTATTTATAATAACTCTTTTAAATGAGTCTTAGCCAGTTTTGTCTGTGTAAAAAAGGAAGAAAATGAAATTTGCTTATTCACAATTTGAGGTCCTTTTCAATCTGTTAGCACAAAGTAAATAAGGAGTCTGGGTCTGGTGTGTTTTACCTCTGTACTAGTAAACTTAGATTAATTTTGCATGGCAGAGGCAGCGAATCTATGCTGCTGTGAACCTGAAAAAACAGGTTTGTGGGAACGGCACTGGCAACACATGCTATGATAAAAGAATATTAAAATAGAATATTGAATATGAATATTAGAATTTAGAGTATTGACATGTAGAAATACACATCAACAATTAAAAACTCCCTAGTCAAACCAAATCCACTTTCTTCTTCAGTAAAAATAAATACAACACAGGTGTTCAAAGGACTGTTTCCAGCTCTGAAACTGCTGGACAAATTCACTGAAACTTCAGATGTTTCACTGAACAATTACCTCAGTGTGGTGTTTTGTTACTTCAGAATTCTTTTCTGTGTTTTTCCCTAATTTTCCTGGGGTGGGGGGAGAGGGGGGTGGAAATTTTAAAAGGAGGGGGAGGGAAGATCATGGGGTAATAGCAAAAACAAAACAATATAAAGAGGGTGGGAGAAAATACAAATTTTTGCAAATCTGTGCATAATTTAAAACAAACATACTGGGAGAAAATATTTAATTTAACTTTTGAATTAATGAAATTAGGCAGGTTTCAGTTAAAAAAGTTACTCATTGCCACTGAATCCTGTCCATGGCAGGGGACTGGAAGTAAATAACCTGTAAGGTCTCTTAGAACACAACGCATTCTATGATTCTGTGACTGAGGAGTGGGAAAGAAAGGGCCTGCAAAATTTTGTATGGTATGAAAATGTGCTTTTAAATATAACCTTGTTTTTCCAGTTGCTACAGGTTGGCAAGGTGCAGGCTACAAGTCCCATGCAAATAGCTTCAGCTATTCATCTCCAGTGTGAACACTGAAACCTATTGGACAATGAGGGTTGCCCAAAAGAAACCGAATAAAATTATTTATGGCCTTTTTTTTAAAATATGTTTTAAAATTTGGGGGTTTTTTTTCCCCATTGATATGCTGAGGGTGGGAGCTTTATCCCATTTTGGCATAAATGGGGAGGGAGGGAGCTTTATCATTGCTTTATCATTTATCATTATCAAATTAGAGGAAGATGAGAACCATGAGTTTAGCTGAACCATCTGCAAGTGGAATGCTTCTGCACTGGGTTGTTAGGGCGAATGCACACCAGGACTGCGTGCTGCTGTGTCCCACAGAGCAGCAGGAGTTGCTAGGCCACCTCCAACACCAGGAATGCAGTAACAATAATGTACTTATATCTTTCTCAGTTTTGAAAAACAGAATAGGTTTTGACATAGAATGCAGTGAGACACTGAGGTAATTTCATAGTGGAGAGACCAGAGGAAAGAAGTCTTAAATCTCAGTGGCAGTGGTTTACTCCTGGTTGTGACTTAGAGAGGGCAGAGGTGGGACAGCTCACTGGGACGCCCGTGTGTGGGAGGATACTTGTGGCTTCTGCCCTCCAGAAACTTCTGTCCCAGCCCTGCACCCCAAAGCTGATGGCAGCTGCTACTCTCAGCCCCATTTGCTGGTCATTTAGAAGCTCCTGACAGCCACAGTGAAATTGGGGGGCAAATAAGCTAGCCTTTCATGAAGGAAACAAATCTGGCAGGTCTATTCAAGGCTCTCATCTTACTGGGGCTGTGTCTCAAGCTTTATTAGCATCATTGTTGTTGCCATCATTTTCCTATTTGTAAAGTATTTTCATAATTTACAGATGCTATGCAAGTGGTATGATTGATGCTGCTTACATCTTTCTAAAGGATTAATAATGGATCTTCTGTGAAAGACAAGTGCGGGGGAGTGATGGAAGTGCCCTTATAAAGGTAAGCTTTCCTTGGATGCTCTCTTCAAGATAAGATAATTTCCTCAAGATTTCTTCAAGACAATTTCCTCAAGCTTATGCTCTGTGATCCTGTTGTTCTGAAGACAAAATGTGATGTCTGCACAATGAGAAGGAAGGCAGAGGTACCTGCTAGCCTTCCCCCATGAGGACAGTGAAAGGGCTGTCCATGTTACAGGCAAAATGGACCTATGGCTACACCACTGCTGAAGAAGACTGAGCATCATGGAGAGCAGAGGCTAACAGTCAGATTTGTGTATTAAGAGATGCTCTGTCCTTCCTTATCCAGTCACGTTACCCACTGCCCTATCTGCTTGTTACACCAGAGGTCCCCTTCCAAAGTAAGCAGAACAGTCCCTGGAAATGCTCCAGGCCAGGTTGGATGGGGACCTGAACAACCTGGTCTAGTTAAAGGTGCCCATAGCAGGGGAATTTGAGCTAGATGATCTTGAAGATCTCTTCCAACCCAGACCATTCTGAGATTTTGTGATTCATGTTTGACCTCCTGCAAGCTACCAATAGCTGTAAAAGCAGTGGCCAGTTAAACCTTTTCAGCATAGAAATTGACCATATCAGCCAGTAATGCATGAATAAGGATAAACTTGGTCTTTCAGCTTCAGGTCCACAAGGAGTGAACAAATGCTGCATCTCGCCCAGACTACAGGAAGGTTTAAAATGGAGATTTACAGCTGAGACACAGGACTGAATTTACCTTGAAATTTCAAGCCTTCAGCAACTTTCTCCCTGCAAAAGTCAGCTTTGAACCTACCTAGCAACAACATGCAAGCTATGCCTGCTCAAGAATACCCCCAAATGCGGCCTTTCTGGAGGAAAAAAATATAGCATTTTGATTATTGGAATGTGTCATACTCAGCATGTAGAGGAGAGTCTATGTACTTGTCCCCATCCATTCTAACTTCACCAGGTGTGCAGGCAGAATTTTTTTTTTCATTTCAGCTGGGAAATGTTTTCATAATGCTATTCACCAATTCCTGAAGATTTGCAAGCCCTTTGCTGTAAGGATTGCACACAGTGTTCCTCATTTCAGAGGCATATGTTAGCACTGCAACTGTGCCACCATTGCTGTGTATCAGATCCTGTGAAACAGCCTTAAAAAAACCAAAGCAAAGCAAAGCAAAGCAAAGCAAAGCAAAGCAACCACACCACTAGAAATTGTAGGGAGAAAAATATATATAAAGATGCACAGTGCAGCTGTTCTGTGGTGAATTTATTTTTTTAAAAAGAATGGAAGATACTAAGTTACAGATGGCCCAACAGTGACTAAAAAGCAGCAATACGTGAAGGGCTCTGCTCATGTTATGAGCAGTGAAAGCACAGACACAGTGATTTAAAATGAGAACTAATTCAGCTGCACAGATAAAACCAAACAACTAGATTCTGATTTTAACTATACCAAATGATGTTTTCCCCTTCCCATCCCTCTCCAGGAAAAAATATATGACAAAAATTAAGTACAACATAATAACTTTAAAAATAAAAATGAAGAAATAGGCTGTTCTTACATTATTTCTAGTTTTATTATTTGCAACTCTGAACTTTGGACTTCTCAGTTATTGTGAAGGCAGTTCACAAAACACAGATATATTAATTTAGTTTTTCTAAAAAGTAAATGTGAAAACTGAAAGAGCCAGTTACCCAAAAGCCCATTATTTCTGTGCCACAGGCTCTTTTCATTTCTGCTTTAAATTTTTGAAATATAATTTTCTGAGCTAGCAACCCACTCTGGAGTTCAAAAGTGGCAAATGCAGAATTACAAACCATTAACCTTTAGCTTCTGAGGTCTCCCTGCCCTACATCTGCAGCAGAAAGCCTCAGCACTTGGACATACAGAGTTTTGAAAGTACCTTGGACAAATATAATTCATGTCAGTAGAAAACAGGTAACAGCCACAAAAACTGTTTCCTGAAACCTCAACCTGGTGCCATAACTTCGAGTGCACTTGAACACAGTTGGAAGGTCATTATGCTGTACCTGTGAGGAGCACTTTCAAATGAAGAAAAACAAGGCTATAGGAAAAGTTTAAAATCTTTTATTTGACCTACAAGTATTGTGGGAAAAGATAGAGAGGAGTTTGGCTCACAGTCCTTTCCACAGTTACAATAAAAAGAAGAAATATCCCTTCTTATACAACTTTCTTCAGCCAAGTTAAAGGTGTAAATGATGACAAAATATTAAAAATTACAATTGTGTAAGTCTCCTGAGAAGTGACATTAACAAAGTTAATAAGCAGAAATACTATGTACAGTGGACAGGCTGATGCTACCTTTCCACATCCCATTTTGCTTCAAAACTATAAAACAGAACAAAATATAATCTATTCTTCATAAGGGAAAAAATAAGGAGAGTTTCTGTTAGGACAAAAAATATTTAACATTCAGGCCAGGTACTAAAGAAGTGGTCAGGGAGGAAGGAAGAATTTGTGAAGTCATGATTAAGCAATGGGACCACAGAGGCTGGAGACAATACAAGGGAGGGAGTCGGTGTGAGTGGGGACAAATGAGCTCTTATCATAATTTAGGAGACAGAAGATGGCAGGCTTCCTGAATGCCAAGGGCAGCTCAGAGAAGGATTAACAGAGACTCCAGAAATAGGATCAGTAGGAGATGGGAAGAAGAAACCCAACAGGGGTGGATGGGCCAAGTGGCTGAGTTGTGGAATCTGAATTGGAGGGTCTTTGGAAATCTCCAAGTACAGCAGAGGCTGACATCAGAAAGGGCAGTAAACAAGTTGAAAGAGACAAGGGGCAGAGAGTGCCTTTCAGATGTTGCCAGTCCTTCTTGCAGGGAGTCAGTAAAACCTCAAAAATCAGAGAGACCTGGGGATGGTGATAGAGATTTTAAACATAAAGTCAGAGATGGAAATGAGATTTAGCAGATTAGAAATATCTGAGAAGGTAAGATAGAAGAAGTGGAGGGGTCTGGCCAGAGAGAAGAAGAGGCCAGAAGGGAGAAAAGGTGATACAGCAGAGGAGGAACAATGTTAGAGGGGAAGACAACCCCCTACATACAGAAAGGAATAGGGTCAAGTATACTCAGAGCTGCGAAAATCACCTACTCATCACCACAGTAGCAGCAGTTCCTGGTATTCTTCATCACTTTGATATTCCTCAGGGCCTCATGAGGGCTTGTCTTCATAATTTTTTTCTTTCAGCTCTAATCCCTCTCATCTCAATCTACCAGTAGAACAATGACCAAGGCATGTTGGGTGCTGTCTCCTCCCAGCTGTGCAGCGGATGGCTGAAAAGGAGAAAGAGCCAAGGGAGCTCCCATGACGGCAGCAAAAGATTATTACCCATGAGGGTGTATCTCTCTAACTCTTCTGAGCAAATACCACTGCCCACTAATCTGAAATAACTGGTGTCATCACCACTGGAGGGGCAGGGACCTTGGCACCATCCTTCACGGAAGAGAGCACTCAAAGAGGAAGGAAATGGGCAACAGTGAGGGCTTGGAGGTAGGCCTGCTACAAGAGAGGAGGGTTTTAGGGAAGACTCCTGTTGAGGCTAGGCAGAGTTTCTGCTTGGGAAGGTGGGCACAGTGGGCAAACTGCAGCCCAAACTGCAGCCCTTTTCCACTGGCAGTCACAGCAGAATAAAGACAGCAGTTGAAAGGAGCCACAAATATGTGAAAAACCCTCTGTGAGTCTTGCTGGTTTTGCTCTGTTTGGATATCAGACCTGGGACAGTCTGCAGCATAACAGGACTTGAACATAATTTCCACATTTATCCTGTTGTATCAGGATGTAATAATATTGCCCATTTAGAAGATAACATGAAGTGACTTATATTTTTATAACTGCTTAATTTTTTAATGTTAGAAAGATAAAACCATAGGCATCAATATCCCTATTCTTGAGTTGGTATTACAGTAAACAGAGGAATGTGTTTGTTTTTAAATGTTATTCACTTGGAATGCTTGCTCAAATTTAACAAAGCAAACCAGAGTTGTCTTTAAACATTTGAATTGAAAATCAGCCTACTTTTACTTCAAGTACCATTTTAAATGGCACAGAAAATTTTACAGAAACTGAAGAAACGTCTACATTAACACATCTGCTATAATTCCTGGTAGCAATGATATTTCCTCAGCTCATTACGGGACTTTCCATGCTTGGTTAGGCTACACATAGGCTCTGACTTTCACAATTTCACTGCTGTGGCAAAAAAAACCAAACAAGTGTCCTGCAGCTTAGAAGTAAAGGCTTAAAATTTCTAAATTCCTTAGCAACGTGTTTACTGTCCATAAATCCAAACCTGAAATGTTAATTCATGCGCAGAAGTACCTTCTCTTACATGCTGTGATGTTACTTATCTCTAGTTTGGGCAGCCTCATGGTTATCAGAAGACTCTGAGAAACTGAGTTTTAAAAACCACTGAAATCGAATTTTACTTTCTGCAGAGCAACATGGAATGTCAAGCTTGTCACACTGAGGCTTCCAGAAGATCTGCTGTGCATGTGTCATACAGAAACACTTCAGGTGCTTCAGTATTTCTGCTGGTTTATGCCATGTACCACATAGAGCATTCTGCTTCCAGGTGGGGAGAATGTATTAAGACCCCAAAGGAATGTCTTCAAAGAGGCATTTTGGCCTTCAGAAACCATATGAGAATATCATTACCATGTGAAAACTGGAAGGGGAAAAGGGAAGAAGAAAGACACAAGTGAACTTGAACAGAATATAGCAAGTAAAAATCAAGAAAAAATAGACTTAGACCAGAAATGTGAAGATAATCCCAGAAATTTCACCTGGATGGATTGCTTTATAGGAATGATAGAGAAACCAAGCCAAAGCAAATACCCAGTTGACCCAATGCTAAATAGAAGCATCCACAGCACTACATCAAATGAAACATGGTTCAATACCAGGGTGATGGCCTTCCTGTAAGATGGGAATCTTGTAAAAGGTTCTGCTCTCATCCTTTCACATTTCCCTGAGAAAAAATGTGTACAGCTGAAAATGTGATAATATAGTATCTGGTATCAAATATTGCTGAATTCCAAGTGTCTTCATTCTAGCAGTGACTTCCATGTGAGACAGATGCAATGTATCTCTGAACATCATTCAACTCCTAAAAAATACATTGGGAAAGGATACTTTGAGACATCTAATTTGTTCAGTATTTTTCTTTTTTTTGTAGAGCCAAGTTCTGATAGTTCATCTCACTTGTTAAAAAAGGCTAATGACGGCAAGTCCACAACCCAAATAGTAACTGCATTGTGTCAATACTATGTTATATATAGTTATACACTCATATTACCTCTCCTAACTCACAGGCAGGCTGTTTAAAAATAGCTATTCCTTGTGGAGATGGAATGTAGTTTCCTCCCTCTCACAGATTTATTTTTCTTTTAATTTCTACTAATTTTTCTACTAACTTTTAGAGTTTATATGTCTCTGAAGAATGTGAGGGAAAGGTCTCAGCACAAGTAGACTTCTCAAAATCACTAAATGCTAGCTCAAGCCTTGTTTCTTCCTTCCAGGGGCTCAAGACAAATTTTCAAAGATTAAGAAAATCTCAGTAAGACATGGCCCCTGGAAACCAACCCTAACTCAAATAGGTATTTTTAACAGCTTTCCTTACCCCTTTAAGGCAAAGCTGTAATCTTCTAGTCTGTAAATCATCCTATTGAGATGGCTAAGTTTTATGAAACCATGGTGGAGAAACTCTGTCATTTTGTGACTTCTGGTAGTGAGGGCACACAAGCAGGATATGTGTTGTGGAGTTTGTCTGGGTGATCCTGACAAACAGAATTATTAAAACAAGACAATTTTCAGTCCTTCCTGCATCTTTGGCATTCTGCTCAAGTATTTGAACCTTGAAATCACTAAGCATATTTGAGAATAAAGGGACTTAGAGCAGAGTCTGAGGGTTTTATGGAGCAGGGGAAGAGAAGACTGATACCACAGTTACCTTTTCTTTTTTCATTCAGAACAAAATGTCATTTCTCTTGCCACAGTTAAGGTAAAATATCACTACAACTTATCATCATCATGACTAAAAAAAATTCCTCCATGTGCTTGTAAGATAGTTTTATACTTACTACTAATGAAGAAAAAAAATCCACCTTCCAAGATGTATCAAAATAATGAATTCTCACATTTATTTTATTTTTCTTGAACACTCATTCACACAAGGTATTAAACTAATTTTGTTCCATTATTTCATCATCTGTGTCTGTAGATGAATTTGATAGTAGTAGTAAAACATTGCTTGCATTTGCCATTAAAAAAGGTTAATACAATTATTATTTAATAACAAAAATAACCTAGCATGGAAATTAATATTTTTATTGAAGAGACCATGCTGAATTATTTTTACTCTAAAAATAGAGAGATAAAAATCAACTTGACATTGTATTGGACTGCAAAATGCTTGTAAAGACTACATCAGAAACATTGAAAATACAGAAAAGTATTTGTAATATAGAGGAATTATTCTCAGGCTCTGGTGATCATTGCAAAACGTAAGTAAGGAAGTATCAAGCTGACACGTGAAAAAAACAGGTGATGAAAAATAATTCAGTAATTATTGGTCCTGCAACACTTACCAGACAAAAAGGGCAAAACACATCCAGCTAATTCTGTGCAAAGGGGAAAAGGCACAAGGTTTTAACCCATTCCTTCCAGCTTCTCCTTCCATCCCGTCTTTCCCTTGCATGGCTCTCAGGACTTGTACACTGACTAGTAGGCAAAAAACAAGGAAAATTTCAAAGATGTTCATGGCCAGGATCATCCCTGTCCTCCCTCCACAGGGCACAGGGAACCAGGAACTTTCCTTTCCCTCTCCCCACCCCCGGGATTTTGCAGAGTGAGGGGGGTCCCAGGACGCACCCCCACCCCCCTTAAATTTCTCTCTGTCATGCAGCACCCTACAGGGTAAAATTAGGGGAGGGGTTGCTGTCTCTGTGGATGCCTTCTCCCCGTCACACTGAAGGGAATCAGCCAAGAAAACACCTTCCTTATATACTCCAACCACCCTTTTTTATTCCTTCACCCTCTCTTTTTTCTCCTTTCTCTCCCCCTTCTTTTTATTTTCTTATTTTTGCCCTTTCTTCTATTTTTTTATTTTGTTCTTTTTTTTCTATATATTTTAAATTTTTAATTTTTTAAAAGTTTTTTAATGCTGCAAAGTGAGCAATCTGCACGCTGTGGCCCCTGAATAAAAGGAATAAAAGGCCTGAAAAATTCAACAGTAATATCTATCACCCCCCAACATGGCGTGCTACTCAGTTGCATGTACTGCATATCCATACTAAAATATGTTTGAAATACTGACATGTTTTTCTTTTTTCTGTTTAGAAACCCAGGACAATTTATAGATTGCAATTATTCCAGTGTTTGCATTGTTATTATTGAATACAATAATAACCTGTTACACAATGGATGCCTTGTGAAAATGACACTTCAAAGAGAAAAATTGTGACATAAACCCTTGCATTTTTCTCTCACAACTGTGATTTATTAAATTCAGTATGAAAGATGGATGTAAAAGACATTTTGCTTTTTTTTTTTTCTTTCTTTTCTTCTGTGTTTTCCCTTTAAATGATTATAAATACATAAACTGTCCTGTTCCTTTCTTTCTGAAGCCCACTTCAATAATGGCAGACTAATGCAATTAAATCGTAATTTTTACATCTATTTCCAATTTTATTTCACTTTATAGCTAATTACAACATTTTGCAAAATTTTGGAACTGATAGCTCCAAAACACTTCAGCAAAGATGCCAGGAAGATGCTTAAATATTTTAAATGCAAAATAAATACTTTTTAAAAAATATATATTGTATTAAGATAGTAAATGTAGTTCCGTGTATGTTTAGATTGATAACAGAAGTACAGATATTTTTAATCAATTTCCTATTAATAAATACCACAGACCATATGATTCCAAAAGGAATTGCAAAAATTCAAATGTTGTTTTAGATAAAGCACCAATTTTATTGTGATTTAGTCAAAAGTTAACAACCACTTTTTCAGAAAACTACTACTATGGTTACTGGTTAAATTAATATAGGGAGAGTGGATGTGCACCTTTTTTCCTTTTTTTTTTACTAGCAAGAGATACATTTGCAAAATGACACATACATCTGGCTTATTATAACCCAAATAAAATATAAAATAAATAAATAAAATAAAATAATGTTAAATAAAATAATTCAATTTTATGGAAGCTTCAATTTTTAATTCAAACCAACCTGAATCTAAATCAATACATTTCTGTGCAGGGATTTTTCAGCTGTTGGTTTACTCTTGTGCTTCAATCATTGAGAGCACCTGGGGCTTTCCAAACAGCACTTTTCTGCTGTGTTTGTCATGACAGATACAATGAGCTTGCCTGGGAAAAACCCTGGGCTTTTTGCAGGTACAGGAACTCCTTTCCACAAAGAGGAGAGAGTTCATGAAGAGCTGCCTGGCAGAGCACCAGAAGCTGCGTGAGCTAATAGAAGCTGTGCTGGCATTGCCAGGCCATGGAGACTTTTTTATTTTGGTAAAAGTGCAGCTTGGGGAAGTTCAAGGGAAAGGTCTGTCCTGTCAGAACTGCCTGCTCCTGGCAATGGCTTGATTCTGTCAGGGCATACCTGGCCACCAGAGCTGAGCACATTAATACTTTTCATTATTTTGAAATTTTTTCTTGAGAATGAAAGCTTCATTTTCTCAATTGGGCAATCAAGGGCTGTGTGAGATATGTCCTTTGTGGGTGTTAGCAGACTGCACTAGAAACTTTTCCTTCCTTTAGCCAGAGCAACAAGTGTTAAAAAAAAACCCAGTTGGCAGCAGTTCTCTGCATTCAGAGGGAAGAGGAGGGTGGTACATGGGAAGAGAGAGCACTACATCAAGAGGTAAATTTTCTGTTTCTCTTTGTTTTATCCACAACCCTACAAATAAATACATAGGAAGAGATCAATGTTCAAGAGCAGGTGTAATTAAGAAGCTATAACCAGCAGAAAAGTGACCTGCTGTACAACCCAAAGATGCTAGCAACCACAGCAAAGGGAAGTACAAGGTTCGGAGGAAGCATTCCTGGAGCAGGCAGAGGTACCCCAAATGGTAATGATGCTGCTAAATTCTCAGAAAGAAGAGTATGATGGAAAGTTAAAGCTATGAAAGGGTGAGGAATACCCCTAGTGATGTGGAGTGATTTGTCAACCTATAGGAGACAAACAGTAGAAAATACTTTGACAAGAAAGAAAAAGTGATGGAAGAAGGTCCCTTTGAATTTGAAAGAAGATTCCTTGAGATTGTAATTTGTATAACCTGTAAAATCATGTTGGAAGCTCCAAAGTGGCCCTAAAGAAGATTAATTACTCTGACTTGTTGGAATAAGCTCTAAGAGCAGAACAGGATTTTACATGGATGCATCTGCCCATATCCTCAGCAGAGAGAGAGAGAGGGCACAAATCTGAGGGAAAATATACCTGCAGCTTGTCTCATACTGTTGCATTTTCTCTGCCACTAATTCCAGTACAGACCTTTTTTTGTCCTTGATGCCATAGCACAACAATTCTCACCTGTCCTGGCATCACTTCCTCCTTCCCTCTTGTTACAGCATTTTGTACTTCCATGGTGGGAATGCAAATTCCCAATGCTATGGGGACAGCCAGAGCACAATGAACTCTTGTTGCCTTCCAGCTGCCAAATCACTCACCCCTTCAGGCAGGGGTCTGAGTGGGGCTCTTAGCAGGCCTTCCTCACCACCCAGCTGCAATGCCTCAAACCTCTTGGAATTTGCAACTTCATGACTAGAGTTTCTTAAATAATATATGTGTATGTGTGTGTGTGTGTGTGTGTGTGTAAAACTGTGCATAATTGTGTTTGACTTACTGCCACTTTTTAACACTCCTCTTAGTTAGTCCTAAAACATCAGATGTATCCATGGCAACAATTAAAAACCAGTCTGACAGGCCTTAACAACAGTATTTCAAAATTGTAGCTATACAGGATATGCCATATCTGTGTTAATTCACAAATGTGTCCTTAATATAAGTGTTCTAAATGGGAAAGTCTAAAGATGTGTTATTAAGGATAGACCTGAGTAAATACTAACACAAATTTTATGTGAATACTGTTAACACTTCTTTTTCTTTTTCTCTTGTGTGAATGTTCCCACCAACTCTGAATGAAGTGAATTATTGTCACTTGCTTCCAGGAAACCAACCCTTGAGAAGACAAATACACATCGCCAAACAGGCAAACATGAGGTTAGGAAGGTAGGGCCAGATAACCCCACCAGTGATCCTTTGCAGGATCACCTTACTGTGATTCTGTTTATGATCTCGGGTTTATACACTTTCAGAAGACAAAATACAATTTGAAGCACAGTTGAGAAGATGCTGGATTTCAGAAGTTAAAAGCAACCCATGGAAAAAAAAAAGGCACAGATCATTCCAAATGTGTAATGCTGAAAAAAAGAAATCAAGTTTTTGCAATAAGCTTTGTGTGAATTTATTAGGAGATTTTACTTCATTGTATGTAACATAGACTAGAAAATGCACTACTGATAGGATTTGTGAATGCTAGTTATTTCAAGGCAGAAAGTTTATATTATAAATCCACAACTTTAAGTCATTCCTGCCTGAGTAAGATGGACAACTGAAAATGCTGAGCTAATGGAATTATTCTCATGTTGCTTTTCAAATTGAGATGAAAAATTGAGGGAAAGCCATGATTTGCATTCAAAATATTCAACCATTGCATGCTGAGACAGTTTCTCTACAATTCCTAAGATGAATAGGATTTGATGAATTGAATAGGGAAGTAATTTAATGTCTGGGATAGTTAGTAAGAAAGTGACAACTTAGGGGGTTTTTGTTTAGGTTCTTTTTTCTTCTCTTTTCTCTTTTCCTTTTTTTTTTCCTTTCTTTTTTCTTTTCTTCTTTTCTAACTTTAAAGAAAGAAATTCTTTTTTTGAACTCGTTTTTTGCAAACTGCTTTGTCTTCAGATATGTGATGGTGAAATGCACCCTCTTTTTCCATTGCAAGGGAGGGATGCCCCTGTCATGCGAGTACTGCCACCACCAGGGTTGGGGTTATGGTGGCAGAGCTGCACTGATCCCTTCCCCCTCTGCCTGGCCAGGCTGAGGCTGCCTGTGTTATGCTGCTGCTCACCAGAAATATTTACATTGAGCTGAGGGAGACTTACAGCAACAGCACCAGTATGCAGATGGGGAAAAAAGACAGGAAAATTTACAAGACCGTTTATAAGTTGTTCATACAACCTTGCTAAGAGCCCTACAAAACTCACTACAACCCTGCTGGAGTCACTAACAAACCGAAATGCTTTACAAAACTTGAAGCTCTTCAGTAATTCTGAATTGCTCTGAAACACTTGTGTTCCACTCATGCTCCATAAGGTCTCTTTTAACCACTTCAGATTTATAAAGGGAATACTGTCAATGTTATGGTAATTCAACTCTTTCAGTTGCAGGTGTGAAATGAAATGGTACTGTATTTTTCTCTTATAATTTTTGCTATCTGCCAGGTAAAAAAGTGGATTATAAAATGAAAGAAAAAAAATTACTTTTCTGGATTAAAAAAAAAAAATAAAAAGTTATCTTATGCAACTTTGCCTAAGCTATCATGAAGCTATCATTTTTCTTCAGTTAATATCCACTTCATGAGGAAAAAAACCCCAAACCATGAAGGGGTTGGACAATCTTCAGAGATTTGCCTTTAACATTGAAAGCATATTGTACTGGGAACTGAAAATATATTAGCTAATGCATGGAGCTTACCACTTTTTTTGTATTACTCACACCACACAGCAGAGAGCAGCACTGAATTGTCTAAATCAGACATTCTTAACAAGGAAGTTGTGCAAATAAGGGTTATCTCATTTTAGCAACTAAAACAAAAGAATATTGGTATGTGGGAGGAAAAAATTCAGATTAACTCAAAAGGACAGGAAAATGTATTCAACTTTAATTAAGAAATCAATTACAAAAACATCCAAAACTGCCATTTAAATAAGAATGGGAATGGGATAATTCAACTTCTGCTTTGTTAAAAAAAAAATCAAAATAAAAAAAAAATTACAGAGTTCAGCAGAGTTCTTAATTTAATTCAAAAATATCTTACTTCCTTGATGAGACTGGTCCTTTGGATTTTGATTTTAATACAGCATCACTTCCTCTCATGCTGTCCATTGATGAAGTATAAACTTATCTTCCCAAGAAAATGCATTTCTGCTCACACTGTTATTGCAAAAATCCTTCTTTCTCAGCCCCAAGAAGAGGCTTGAAGAGAGACATCTGCTGAAGCTGATTATCATGCAGTGGCACAGTATGATGTACGAGCAATCCCACGTTCAAAAGATGTGAAAAAACAGAGAAAGCTGCAAGGGAGAAAAATGAATACATTGACAGAACTGAATGCAAAAACTTTTTTCTTGTCCCCCCCTCCCCTGCCTTTTTTTTTTCCCTAGTCTTTCCTGCCTCCCCTCCCCTGACCAACTAAATTAATCACAAAAACTAGGCAAGCACAAATGACCAAGGTGAGTCAGCTGCAAACTAAATGGGTAAAACAGCAACAAGTGAGGTAGCTGTGAGGGCATATGCCCCAGAGCTCAAATTGCCAGGGAACAGCTTTACGCTGCTCTAATAAATTTTTAAATGTGCTTATTCTTGGTTTTTACAAGAGAGTTTAAAATCACATATATCACACTAATTTCTGAAATATATTTTGAATCAAACGTCATAATAAAGCAGTCGCTAAACTGCAAAAAAACTGCAAATTAAGTTCTGGTCTTTTGCAAATCAATTGAAATCCAGTTTGATTCAGCCAGGACTAAGAGAGCATCGGTCTTGGTTTGAAAGACAGGTGTCTGCCAGTGAAGGCAGGATCCTCCCTTGGAATGGACAATGTAACCCCCTGGCTCAGAATGACTATAAATTTGAAATGAGGGGTTTTCAGGCAGGGACATGAGAACAGCACTATCATTTCTTTGCAGGTGTGCACAGGCAGGCAAACACAAGAGCGGCTCTGCAGGGCCCAGGCCCAGAGCCAGGCCCCAGAGGCCCTGCCCGGCCGCCCGCGCGCTCCCCTCGCTGCACTTCCGGG